ATTCAAGTTATCCTTTCATATATTGCGAATTCAAATGTATAATAAATACAATTCAATTGTTTGTGTTTACAATTTGCATTCAATTAATACAAATTTTGGCAAAATTAATGTCATGATTTGAAAACACTTTGAATGATTTGGAAAAATGTCCCTATTCATTTTTTATTTTAAGTGTACTGTCATTATTAATTATTTATACTCTTTGAGTATTAATTATTACCCTGATTATCGGAAGTATACGCCGTATAACAGTTAGTATGGATTAATTAGCTACCAAACAAATTAAGATATTACATCCATTTATAATATTTTGCACCTGGAGTATATTTGGAGTACACTAGCGTAAAATATCTATAAAGCTTATAAATTATATTTAATTGTAAAAGAAACAAACAAATTGTCATTACTTTTAGAAGTGTTAACAATATATTTTTATTTCTCGTGAAAATCATTTTTTACAGAGAATTTCCGGATAATCAGGGTATCGTCTGGTATTGTAGATGTTTTATTGGATTCAATTGAACCTCATTTGCGTAGTTATTGTTAAGATGTATAGTATATTAAAAATATTGATTGAATATAAGAGGTAAGTATGAAATACGTTGTACTGTCGACTGCAATGTAATAACAGTACAAATCAGGCATATTCTGAATCGTAAGGACTTTGTGCTTCACCGGACACTGAATGCCGGTCCGACTCATAGGCTCTGGGATGAGGGGCCGGGTGTGAGAACTGATGAGTCATTTGATGATTGCTGAGGTAGTGAATGGAGGAGTCGTGTAAATAGTCATCAGATTTAGCCCTTTGACCCAAACTGGCGGCTCTTTGTTGCGATGAATTGCTGGCAAATGATATGCTCTTCTGGTAACTGAGTAGTTGGCGCTCAAGACTGTAGTTCTCGGACGTCAGCGCAGATATCTCTCGCCTATCATTTCAAACATACATTTCATTATTATTTACAATATCAGGGTTATATCAGTATATGATTCATCTTACACATATAAGTATATTATAATATAAAAGTTATTATACAATACAGTAGTGTATTTCATATTACACAGTATTATTTCATTAACGAACTCGCATTCAGTATTTGTATGTAAAACAAGTATTTTGTATGATATACTGTAGATGTAATGTTTTATTTGAACATAAAATATCAAATAAGTGGTATCAGTGAAAAAGACATCTGAAATAAAAAGCGGACAAAACTTAGGATTATATCTAAAGTGAGTTTAGAGTAAAATTTCTTAATAAAACTCAATCCTTCAGTCGATGTCTAAACAAAACCTCATTTTCTGTTTTAGAAGAGATTTAAGGTAAATTATGAGTTTTAGCTGAGGTTTCTCTTTAACTGACGTTAAGGTGTAAACCAAAGTTTAAATTTAAGTCAAGTAATTCATTAGCTATTTTCTCATAAAGATTACTTTTGTTTGAAAGTAAGTCCAGAAAAATTGCTTTTACTAACATTTACTACTATTTGCAACCATTATTCTTATTTTCTAATACTATTTATTATTCAAAATTAAAATATAACCAATGGTTGTGTGTTAGTGTTGGATGTCAGTCAACACAAATCATTTCATTGGCAACAAATACACAATGAAAAATGAATTGCATTTAAAGTGCAATTGCATTCAATTATAGCTCGCATGAAGTCACGACATTGTGTTCATTTTGTATTTCATATATCACTGGCAATAACTGCAACTAAACACAACCTATTTGAAAATCAACTCAATGGATTGACAATGATCTTAACTAAAATTTACTGGTGATAGTTTATACCAAATAAAAACATAATATAAATATCTTAGCGGCTAAATCCAAAAGGTTGGCCAGTATTACCCCATAATCAATGGCACGATAGCTTACGGATTGCAACAAAAATAATTGAATAAATGTATCAATAAATTGAGTGAAAAGTAAAGATTTATTCATTTTATAACTTTTCAAACATTATTCACAAAATGTCATAATAGGGTTGTCATTTAGCAAAGGAACATTGAACATTTGAACCCATTTTCATATTATTATTAATATTTTTGGCAAATGTTTGACCAATTTTATGAAGTGATTGTTACCATATTAAATACTACTCAAAGCAGTATGTTAACTATCAATAACATAAATTTTGAAAATAAGAATTTCCAAATTGTTAGACAATATCTAACCATACTTTTAAAATAAAATTATATATTCTAGGTATAATATGATATAATATACATACATAAATTATAATAAGTACTTAACATGAAATTCTAATGTTTCCTGAACATATTTTGTGTTCTTTAATTATTTTATTAACGGTTCAAATTATAAAAGTCTTGATAAGTGGCAATATTTTCAAATGTGAAATGTTATGTTATGCACCTCTTATTTATAATATACACAACTGTATGTACTGTTACTGATTCTGATGAAAGTAAGTTAAGTCTGAAATGTTTGAAAGAGTAAACTCTTCTTTGAATGTAAAAACTTTGATTAGTATTGATACTCGTAATCAGTTTTCATCGATATTATGGCATATTTGATAAATATATACATAATATTATAATTTATGCATTAATTATATTTTTACGTAATTGTAATAATTGACAATAATTTAAAATACAAATACAATATAATGTAATATACTGTAAGTGTTAATTTGAGCCAAAATTGAAATTTCTTGAGTTGTGTTTCGAATAAATGTTTTCTTAAGATAAGAGAGAATTTGACTGAAGAGAAGAGAACTGTTGTACTGTTGTATTGATTTGTTAACAAAATATAATATAAATCTCAACTTTAAATGCTTGTAAAAGTGTTGACACACTATTTCACTGTATTATCCTTTTTAGTGTTTTCAAATCATGACATTAATTTTGCCAAAATTTGTATTAATTGAATGCAAATTGTAAACACAAACAATTGAATTGTATTTATTATACATTTGAATTCGCAATATATGAAAGGATAACTTGAATGAAATGAGTATATAAATAATAATACCTATAGATGTTCATTTCAATGCTATACAATGCTATCATACTGTACTGTACTGTAAGCAGAGTTCAAGTCACTCTTTTATAATATTGCCTTTCACTCACTGTTTTTGTTAATGTTTAGGTCATACAAAGTATTCATTCATATACTGTATTCTCACAGCTTTGACACTTTCATTGCAAATATTGGCAACAATTTATTATTGCATCAACTTTTTATCCAAATCTGCAATTTTATTTTTAATAAATTACATTTTAACAATTGCGCCATAAATAGTTTGCAACATTCAACAAATATAATTTGTATTTTGTTGTTAATGTGATTTTCAAAGAAAATATTCCTAAATAAGTCGTTTATGGAATTCATTTTAAATATCTTTAACTATTCATTTATAGTAATATTAATAATTAACAGTAATAACTAAACTCGGTGCCACGATAAGATGCCCCTGCTGTATCCCAATCATTTAATACACTATTTTGGCAATTAATACAGAAATGTATTACAGAAAGAAAGTGTTTTACAAAAGAGGTCTTATAAAAAACAGGTACAACTCTATGAAACTCACATCGACACCAAACTTTTTTTGTTAACCCTTTGACATGTAATGCCGCACTCATTCACATCAGGTGTGTGTCTCACTGAGTGGATGGCGCCAATATACTGTTATACGCCGTTTTTATAAGTCCTCTTTTTCCTGTACTGATTGCTGATAAAGCCTATTGACATGTTAAAACACAATACCCTATAACTAGACTTACAAATCCACTGTACTGTATGTCTATTTTACACTTTCTTTCTGTAATATATTTCTGTATTAATTGCCGAAAATAGTGTATTAAATGATTGGGATACAACACGGGGTCATCTTATCGTGGCACGGAGTTTAATTCACAGAAATTGACCTAGGCCACAATTAGAAATATCTCAGGATTATTGCACAATATACTGTATATAAGAGCTTTATTATAGCTAATATATTTGGCACACAATTTATTACACAATTGCATATTTTAGTGTTCTATAAATATTATAAATTTTATTTATTGAATAAATAATATATTGATAACTGATGTTTATTTATTAATTAAATTTAAATAAAACATTATTTGGCACACAATTTATTACACAATTGCATATTTTAGTGTTCTATAAATATTATAAATTTTATTTATTGAATAAATAATATATTGATAACTGATGTTTATTTATTAATTAAATTTAAATAAAACATTTAAAACCAATGCTTATGTTATTATGTTCAATTCCTATATGCAATGAGAGGGGGATGAGAGGGGTCAATTTGAAGCAAAGATATAGTGTCCGTACTTTGACTCAGACACCCAAGCAGTTGGAGAAGTGTCTCGATTACTAATCCACACAAAACTCATAGACTGAGACATATCCTTAAAAGAAGTACAGTTTAGGAGCACTCGTGCCCTCTATTCTCACAATCCGAACATAATTTGATGTCTCTTTCAATAGTGAATACAATATGATATTTGTCTCACAATACTCGACTATATTTG